GCAGTTCTGATGCGGCATCGCCGAATCTCATGTGGTGAGGCCCCAACCCCACGTGGAAGGTATGTGCGGCTAAAGTACTTTGCCAAGACATCAGCTTGCACTGGTTGAGCGAAGGCATGACATGCGTGAGCCAACGGCAGAAGGATAGTGCCCAAAGCAGGTGTGTCCTCTACTCTCTGCCATGGTGCTGGCGTGAGCTGTTCAACACGAGGGTCACCTCGGCGAGTAGCCACCAGAAGCAGCCTATTCCTCGAGTGTGGTAGAACATCTGCAAGGTTGAAATTGTCACACCAGATAAGGTCGTAGCCTGCCACTTCATGAACTCACGCACCCAGGCAAAGTGCTTGTGCGTGAACACAGATGCCACTTGCTCCAATCACAAGATGGCTGGTTGCAATAGGAAGCATTGCACCAGGGTCATGACGAGTAACCTGCCATCCGGAGCTCCAAGTCCTAGTTCGGAGCTAGCGCGGCTCCACGGCTGGCATGGCGGTGAGGCCAGCAGAACATCGATGGGCTTGAAAAGGTAGTGCCACCAGGCGTATCTGGCCAGGTATTCAACGTTAGCCTGAACAGTAAGCGGCTCTTCCAGCGTCTTTCCATCAAGGCCATTCTCTGAGGCCTGGGCCGGACTTGAGATGGCGGGGTAGGACGAGTGGTTTAAGGCGTGACATCTGGCCATGATTGCATCATTCTCGACTGAAAAGACATGTTGGATAGGCAAATGTGCATGCTCGAGTGCTTTGACCGCATATGACCATCCGGAAAACCCTCCAGCGAAAAACTCACCCACGCGGATAAGGCTATCAGGCTGACGATTGGCAGGCTGTTGCAGCATGATGCCGGACTGTGGTGATCTCAGGTCCACAACTGGTATTCCTTCGTTCCAGAGTATTTTGGCCTCCACTATGGTCACAGGTTTATCGGGCCCGATTGCCTGCCAAACAGCAGGGGGCATCAACACATGAACGAAAGAGGCGGGGTCATGCCTGCATGTTGGCCAGCCGCATTCGAGCGTACCTATCACATGGCTTTGATCGGATGGAGGACGTGTGATTTGACATGATACCAGTGCATTGCCGCTCCACTCTTGGAGGTATTGACGAAGAATGGCATGAGCGGTCACAGCTTTGGTATGGCACGTGCATTCCTGCTACAGGGATGTGGGCCCTGACATGTTGTATAAGACTTTGACAGGTTCGTGGCGACAGACTCGGCAAAACTTGAGACTGCTGGTTCTCCTGTATGGCCCCTCCTGAAGCGTAAGGACGTGCCCCCCTCCATGTGAATCAGATTGGCGAGAAACAGTGCACGGACAGCGAAAGCAAAGTTATTTAAATGTTGGTCTTGGGACAGCAAGCTCCAGCCTTGTACTGCCTGACGTCCAATCGATTCAAAAACCTCATGCTCTGAATGACTTTGCAGGACACGAACCGCTTCCTGGAACGGTGGAATCTGATGAAACCGCATGACACTAACAAGTCTCGCAACACAAGAAACCCACACATCCGCCATGGTGCTGGGTATTCATGGTAGATTGCACTCACTGTTTCCATGTCAACACGCAGGAAAGCGGCAAAAGCATGCAAAAAAGCATTTCTGTCACGAGGGTCCTGGCGAGGGAACCCAAAGAAATGAACAATGTTCTGCAGGTTTCCATGCAGCCGGAAAGCAAACCAGTGGTCATGGGCGAGAATGAGACCTCGAGTATCCATCAAAACCCAACTATTAGCGTGTGCAGAGTCAATCACACGTACAATGCCTGCCTCACGGTCCCAAATGCAGCACGGCATAAAATGAATGTTGGTGATTCTGCTCTGGTGCAATGCTAACATGAAGTCGAGTTCGTCAGATGCAGCTTTATCGGGCATGTCACAAAAGGCCTGAATGCGGTCTTGGATGGATTGAGGGAGATATGAACCTGCGCGAACATCCCCTGGGGCTGGCACTATTGCTGTTGACGAAGTCACCTCAGGAACAGCAGGCTCGGAACCAAGATCACCGGAAGACAGTGCGATTTGTGGAACTTGTGCAGGTGGGACCTCGACCTCTTCAATGATGGCTGGATCATGGACACACAGTGGCTGTCCAGCGGCTTGAACTGTCAGGGCATCTAATCTCGTATGTACACTGGTGTTAAACTGAAACAGGTTGGTGAGGAATGACATCCTGATGACATACGCCATTTGCTGAAGGTCGTCTGAGGCATCAGTCCTTGCCCAGGCATCTATTGATCTCGATAGGACCCTCTGGACGATCTTCTTTCTGTCTTCGGACAATGTGTGGAAATCGTGCAGGGTGTCAACAAAAGCATGTGTCGAATGCATAAGCTGAGTCCATCTACACAGGAGGGTCCAACCGCACATGGTGGGTGGCGACTGATCAAGACCAAATTCAATTTGCACTCTGTGAGGGGGAATATCCAACAGCCTACACGCAAACATTTCCACTCTATGTCGCCATGTGCGCGGTATCATCAAGAGTGTGATCACAGGTTGAGTATGCTGTCTATCGATTTCGATTCCTCCCCAGTGCGCTCCCATTAACAGGGGAATCAAGGAAACCCCAGTGTTGGCAATGTGTGTGTCTTCATTGTCGAACTGAAATTCGTCACTGGTAGGCACGTACGCGCACAAAGGCAGGAGATGGAAGTTGGACTGTGGCCTGCGAATTCGGCCAACTGCATATGTCCATTCATCCGATGCTAGCCAACCCTCCGTGTCCCGTGTGAAAGAAAGACGCTCCCCGATGGTAGCAAAAGGCCACAAAAAAAAGGCTGATCTAACTGTCTCCCACCCAGGTCTTCCACCAACAGACACCAAGCGAGACCAGGGTGCGACACCTGTGGCATCCAACAGCACCCCTTTTGGAAGCAAACACACCTTGGTCACATGTTCTGCGATCACCAATGCGACGAAGTCAGAAGGGACCTGCGAAAAAAGGCTGAACACAATGGCCAGGGAATTCGAAGGTCGTAGGTAGATTGACTCCAAAGCTTGGGTGACCTGGAGATGAGGGCGGTTCATGTCTGGGCCCTGCCCTATCTTGACTTTTCTTTTCACTTACTTCATCACGCAGAGGGCCTATGGCCAAGTTGCAACCCTCGAGCGAATGTGTCGCATCACTTCCATTCGAGAAGACTTCATGGCCTCGTCGATCAAGATGAGCATGGTCGTCAGTCGTTGTGGCTGTGTATTCCAGAAAATGATTCCTTCTTCTGGCTCCTCGCTCACACCAAACCTGCTGGGTACTTGGTCTCCAAGGCGAGTTCAGATTATCTTCAGTCCATGGCTGACACAAAAGCTCCCTGTTCAGCTGACGAAGAAATCTGGTGGATCTGCCATAGTGCCACAGAAGAAAAACACATGCACATAGGAACACATAGTTTCCCAAAGTGGGGTTCTTCCACGAAGCCTCATCACTTTCAAGGGCGATCAATGCCAAAAAGATCAACAACATGAGTTCCTCGAAGTGTAGTGCTCCATTGTCTTCTGGGCTAGAATGCTGCTCTTGCATGCCCTCGTCTGTGGGACAATCCCACACGGGGACAGAGATCCAGCAACCGCCACGGAATACTTTGGCCAAGAACCACACAGATGGTGCTTCAGATGCCAGGCGTGAGTATACATCACAAGGCAGCTTGAGCAACACTGGAGTCTCTTCAAAGATCCGATAGGCCTCCACCACCACGAAGTCATGGCATACCTGCAGCTCATTCCATGTGGTCAACGCCTGACGTGGAATTCGGCTACTATCAATGAGCTTCGTGGTGGAAACATGTCGATGTACCGGGATGGTAGTTTTCTCAGGCTGAGAAAAACATGGCATTGCCCCAATCCGCACTCCAAGCGTGAAGGTCACGCTCAAAGTGACAGCCGCGCCCCGGGAAGGCTTGGGCAAGAACGGCTCCGCTCATTCGGATTGAACCACTTCTTCATATGGGGGGTTATATTCAATGAGTCTACAGTCTAAATTCCATCACCTGTTGTGTCCCGAAATCGACGGGCGACACGGACGGGAGAAAGCGCGATCGGAGCTATCGACACGTGTTTCAGCCGCGAATCGACGCGGCGCTCCTTAACGATCCTTACGTGGGGTGGAGAATGGGTCCTGTTCATCCTTCTTCTTGTGCAATGATGGAATCAGGGTTCCAATCAGTGTGAATCTTGAATCTTTGTGTTGATTCCAGGGTTTACGATGAGCACATGGGCTTGATACTTCACAAACAGTCAGCTTTGAACGGCATCTTGAAAAGAACATCAGGCAAGGAGCAGGTCCGATTGTCAAAAAGAAAGCCAATCCAAAGTCATTGTACCATTTGGAAAATCCAAAATACAACCAAACAAACCTATTCAAAAACCAACACGAACTGCAACAACGCACAAAACTTAGGCAAATAAGACACAAAATGGTCATGTGTCATGACCTATAATATACCCACACAAGAAACAAGGTGAAACATGGAGCAACATCGAATGGGCCTTTGACCAAACAAAGGCGATGGCCAGGTCATAAGCAACAACATCAATTTGAACAAATATAGCACGGACATGTCGCAACTGGATCCACCTAGTATCTTAAACCATGACTGCAGTCTGAGATGTCTTACTTAGTGTTGACCTGAGTGTTTTTCACTTGAACAAAAAATGAAACTGCAAAAGGTGTGGGATCATGTACGTTTCATTATCATAAATCTACTCGACGGCAAGCCCCATTTGCAATTGCGTTGAACGTTTCAATCAAAAGTGTTCCTTGCAGTGATCAATTAATTACACAGTCTCTCTGTGGATAAAGGTTGGGTAGCGTGTCTTCCAGCACTTGGGCCAAGGGTCTTTGGCATCCTCCAATCGTCCAACAGGAGTTGATGAACACAGTAACGTCCAATGCAAAGTTGACATACATACTCGGGTTAAGTATGGGTTAAGCACTTGATGATCTTGATGTCCTTGTGAATGTCTCGCCCCGGACAGCGTCACGCCCGGACAGCGTTCGGCAGGCTCCTCAAAGCCTCGTCGTAGCTCCCTCGATGAAGCTGAACCTCGCGGTGGTCCGGTTCAGATGAAAAATCAAAGCGAGGATTGGTTCCCTTTCAACGCTGTTTGTTCAGCAGCAAATGTTCAAATTGATTTAATTGAGACTGCTTGGGACTTGAGGGAACTCGATGTTAATGTTCAACTCTTGAAACTTGGATGACAAGCGAGTAGAGAAAATTCCTGATGACACTGTGGTTTGCCGTCCCTGTGAAACAAGGCCAAATTGTTAACTTCCAAAGAAAACATGGGAAATTCAGAACCCCAAAATAAGACAAACATAAACACCTGAGGGACTTGCAGCGGCCACTGCGTGAGAGCTGCAAGCAGTGCAAAAAGGCCTCGGCAGCCACGGCATCCGCCGAGAGTGGCTGAACAACTCCGAGAGTGGCTGAAAGCATTCGGCTGGGATGGCAGAACCAAGTGGTCATGTCCGTTTAACGCGCATGTTCATAAACAAGTACAGCATGCAGATTAGACATTATTCAACCAGCAACGTGGACTCGGGCGTTGTACAGTTTCATCGCCGGGCAACATCGACATGCGTTTGGTTTCAACATGACAGACTCAATGACGGCTTCACCGTATGTTTTCTCGTGGCTCAAACCACTTCGTTGGCTGCCGACCCAACGTGACCTGCCGACCCAGCTGGACTTCGGCGTCGACCAAACTCCGACGCGGAAAAAGGCTGGCGAGTGTCCCGCGCGGAGGAACATGCAGAAGATTGGAAGAATCTGGTGCCTTGTATATGTATGTATTATAGTTATATATTTATATACCTGGAGCCCTATTGACCCCTGTTTTGATAGGCAAATGCCATATTATGGGAGGTTGCTGGTCCAAAATAGAAGTCATGCAGGTTCTAGGTGTATATATATATATATTATATACCATAAGGGACAAAAGTACCTAAGCAAGAAATCGTGCATTTTGGCACGCAGACTTTTGAGCATCAGTTCTTGGAAGAGATGCAAAAGCACAGATCGAATCTTCGGATGATGAGTTAGAGACTTTTCAGTAGTAGTAATGTCACAGTTTATATTTTTTATGTGGGTCTCCACAGCACCTTCTCACCCTAGTCTGTGTTTGTATTTTGCAACCGAATACCACTCGAGAGCCTGTGGCCTTGGCGTTTCACACCACTTTTGATGTGTTTGGTTATTACGGCCCCTTCAGCAAGAAGTTTCAATTTTTTGTGGCATGCTTTTACCGCAAGAAGATCATAAGTCTAAGGGTTTTGTGCCATCCATGAAACGACCCCTAAGCTTGACAATGTGTTCCCAGTATAGATTCTTCTAGCAGTCTCGGCTTTGTTGCAGCAAACTTGACCACAAGGCCGGTTTGGGCGATAGCGGGTCCAAACACTATCATTGGAGGCTCGACCTTTTCTGTCGCATGTTGAACTATAGCCTCTTAGCATCCCTTTTGGGCCGCTTGGAGAAGAGTTTTGTCTCACACATATTGCAAAGCGTGCGGTGGAGTATACCGCATGAAGCAAACCAGGTTAGATAGATCAACTTAACAAACAAACGATACCAAACGCAGCAAACCTTCCGACAACCATGCTCTTGAAGCTGCGCAGATCGCGATTTGAAGGCGGACCGTCCGTTTGGGACAGATGTGGTTTTCCAATAGTTCATTGCCCAGTTGATGGCCCGATTTTGCAGCTGTTTCCAAGCACCCTCAAAAGGTACATGGCTTGACTCGACAGGAAGAGCAGAAAAAATGTACGAAGCCTCCATGCTTCAAGTGCTTCCTGAAGGTAGAGATCGGCCGCGTTAAGTAGGCCCTGTTACCCCTCGGTTTTGGTATGGTAGATATGAGCCATGGCTCTTCGCAGTCGCTTTGAAGGAGCTTGGATCGTCGCTTTCGGTGATTGTGATGGTGCTAGAGCTAGCATGGAACCTCTCTGGCAGGTTGCTGAACGTCAGTTGTACAAACAGTGAAGCTCCTCTCGCCGTGAACGGCTGACCCGAGCGGCTGGAGTGAAAACAAAATAGTTTGGTGGGAGTGAAACACCAGGTAGTCACATGATGAAACAATGAAGTGTTCAAGGACCATCTCCTGTACTATCAACTTAGTGGCCCTTAGGCTGTAGCACCCCCTGGTTCAACCCCTGTCCGTATCATTGCTTGGCTAAAGCAATACATGTGGTCAAACGACTCCGGGAAAGATGTAACCTCCACGATCTGTCTTGGTTCTTGTTGTTGGCTGACATCCAAGATTCTGTCAAGATTCGCAGGCTTTACTCGAGGGTATTGAGCCGGTGTGGAGGCATGGTCAAACATCTCAGGGATTATTTCAGGGTCATGCCACGCTCTGGCCAAGGATTGTTTGGGCCTGCTGTTCTGCTGTGACCGCCGCTGGTGCTGACACAACACCGCAAAGTCAAAAAGATGAACCTATTTTGCGAACCTAAATGAGGCCGCAGCTTGGCTTTATGAAAGTGGCCCCTCACTGCGTGTATATATTATATATATAAGGCGGCACCAGACTTCATCCAATCCTACTCTGACTCTCCTTGAATGCGGTATCTCTACGTTCTTGGGCAACATTCATTTACAAGATATCTCCATTCCTGTCTAGGTTTCGACCTAGCTCCCTCTCTTGCTTTTGGATTGTCTAAATGGATTTCTGTTGTTCTCTCGTCCCAATTTTCTCACCATAATCCATATAAGAACCCATCAGGCTTTGTTCTGCAACTAATCCTTCACGATCTTCACGCACCTTCAAGGTTTTAAGGACCTCGACCATATCGGAGGACTCAGGTACTCCAGCTGTCATGCAACACATCAAGACCCCAAAACCCCATGATGCAAATGAAGTTGGGGATTGGAAATGATACAAACATGTAGCAAACACATGTTTAGGCTGCTTTAAGTATCATACTTCTGGAGTCTAAACAAACATCACGAAACCACACAGCCTATATATATATATAACATCACGCCACTACGGTCGCTGCCCTGCAAGAAAGCGGCTCGGAGGCCCTCTGAGCGAGAAGTCGCAGCTCCTGTGCTGCCGGCAGGGGTTAGGAGTCCTCTGTGCTCCATGAAAATGAGTGATAAAAAGTAGATAATCGTAGATATATGTACAGATATGTTAAGATTTCATTGACGTTCAGTGGTGTTCATTCTATTGGGAAGAGGTGGTTGGTCCTGTGAGCCCCCCTGTACTGTCCTGTCAGGAGTCCTTTGTTGGGTCCGGGTCTGTCAGGGCTTCAAGCTGAGAATCAGTTTAGTCAGACTATTAGTCCAATGGTTGGGATCGATCAAGGTTGGACAGAACACTGGCGCAATGCGAAAGATTCCAGTGGATGACTACGACATACTACGACTACTACTACTACTACTACTACTACGATGATGATGATGAGGGCGGTCATGGGTTTTGCAGAGAGGGTCAAGTGATCATTGGTGGATGGATGTGGATGGTGGATGGTGATTCAACTGGATTATGATTGAGGTTGACCACAGCAGCCAAACCTTTGATTCTCCGCTGTCTATTACAGCCTTATGAAGATTCATCGCGTTCATCCGCAAACAATCACTTGCACATACTTGCACTAAAACCATTGGTCTGCCAAGTGTCCAGAATTCCTCCATTTCACCTTCCAAAACGTGTGAAACATGTAGATCTACTGTGGGTCTTCTGGTCTTCTTTTTGAAGTGACACACCAACTTTGGTCCACAAGGTAAACACGGGGACAACAAGAGCTGTTCTGAACATTGAAGATCCTGGCCACCATGCACTGCGTGCTTGTTGACTAGGCAAGGGTATCCGCACATTCCAACCTGAAAGAGGCTTGAGCGTCCAGCAACTTCCGTTCCCCTTCATGGAACAAATGCAATCACTCCATGTACTCAACATAGCCTGCGCTTGGCTTGTTTCCAGGGTCAATCTCAATCAGTTACCTATATGCAGTTTGATGATCACAGGGCATGACACGAAACCGGTTTTATCGATCTTAATTGATACATCTGCGTAGTCGGCGGATCCAGCCGCTTAATTATTGTTCCATATCATTGATCCTCTGTCTTTCCAGGTGATGGACCACCCTCCGATCTTCGATCACCAAGCGTGGTGTTGGGGTGTCCGGCTTGTGCCGGCTGGGGGCCTCTGCAGGTGATATTAACACCTCACATGCCTCACATGGTCACATCCATGGCCGCGGATCAGCCAAGTCCTCCATCTTCTCCTCCACACGCCGGAAGTGCTCGCCGGCCTGGTTCGCGCAGGGATTGTTGCGGGAAAAGGGGATGAATCTTCCTGGTGGAAGGAACGTCACCGGAATAGATTGTGTTTGGTCCAGGTAGTGTAGACTTTCGTTGGACAGGGAATCCCAATTGGATGTGTTTGGGTTTGTTTGTATGTTGTGGCAAGCATCTAAGAACTTTGACCTCCATCTAGGGAAGAACAAACTATTCGCGTCAGCGACGCCAGAACCTTGTTCACACCAAAACGTGTTGCAGCAGTTACACATACAACTGGAACATGTTCTGCCACAGGGCACTCTTTTGGTTTTGAAGTCGCGAAATTGCCGCCTTGACGTACACCTTTGAAAAGCATGCACCAGTAGTTGCAGAACACTTTGTCACAGGTCTACATGGTTGCAACAAAGCTAGTAATTTGCAATATCCCACATGGCAGGGTTCAAAAGGCTGGTAACAGAACTTTTGAAGACACTGACTTTAATTACACGTTTATACACTTTTAGTATTTGAGGTGACGCCACACTGGTTGCAACATGTTTGTTCCTGCCATAGCCTGTTGTTTTATAGATAGAGCATCTCTTGACTATGCTTCTGTAATTGTCCCCAACGTGTCTGTCGATCTGTCGATCATCACAAAGATGATCAAACAACTCCGTGCGGGCCCTTAATCAAACACTGCAAGCAGCTGCAAGGACAAACACATGACAATGTTCAAACACAACCACTTACATCCCGGCAAGTGAATTCACAAGGCTTGCGCCAGGGCTCCCCCGACTCGGACTCGGAAAGCCACAAGGAAATGGAAAAAAACAACTTACATCCACTTACAACCCGATGCGTGGGTCACTCACAACCCGATGCGTGGTTTGTTTGGCTGGTCAATGCGCTTGAAGAGTCTACAGTTGGTCTGTTCATTCCGCGTTGGTACTCATGGATTGTCACATCTGTTAGCGCACTCAGCAGAGGAATGCTCCCAAGGTCAGTATTATGATATTTATGCAAAAGTATGCAAAAGTCATCAAAAGTCATTTGTATGTTCACTTCAAATAGCATCAAATAGCAACAGTTCGAATCAGTTCGATGGGGTTTTGGTGTGTTACGGTAGTGGGTAACCACAGAAATTATCCTTCTGTAGAAGCCACAAGACAGGTGTTGTGCAAGAGTGACTGTGCAGCAAAGCTGCTGTGTAAACAGATTACCTATTTTGAAACAAATACAAAGCTTTGACAAAGGCCAATGATTTCTGAAACGACATCCAGATCCACCCATTATCCAGCTAGTTGTAACATTTGGATGTCAAACATGAATTTGTGAATGTTAACAACATTGTACTAGTACCACCCACTGCAAAGTACTCACCTCTGACAAATAAACAGTTATTTTTCCACTGAACATCCATCCATCCATCCATCCATCCACTGTTTGGTCTTGTCGCACGCCTCGGAGGTGGCCTCCGCCTCCGCGTCCGCGTCCGCCTCCGAGGACCGTGTGGGTCGACCGTCCTGGGTCCCCTCCCGAGTCGAACGTCGGTTTTTCCACTGCCTTGTTTCTACTAGCGTCCTTGTTACTACATGTTACTACTAGTAAGGCACTTGTTCCTAGTAGCTTATTGGTGACAAACAAAACTTGAGGCCCTCACTTGCCAAGAGCAACTCCAGCTAGCTGGTGCTAGCTTTCGTGAGATCGTTTGTGAAGGTCGACCGGATTCCGGGAGAATTCACTGACTGCAGAGACGTTGCTACAAATGTTCATGGCGGATGTTCAGAGACGTTGGGAAACGCACCGATCACTGGCTCCTATCAATCACCTCGAACACATATAAAGCCTTTTTTCCAACTCCAACGCGAAGCCTTTCACGGGACTTTGAGTTCCACAACTCCTTGATGCCCCCAGAGTGAAGAATCATTCAGCCTGCGTCCGGCAGATGTGCCAGCGTCCGCGGGTTCCAACGCCAATGGAACCAAGCTTCCAACGCCCAAACGCACGAATCTGGGTGACCCCCCAAAAAAGTAAAACTCGGCTTGTGCCGCGATTGCATACGAGGGTGGGTCAAACATGTCAAAAACTTTAATTCTGGCATGAGCCTGCAACTGACAAAATCATCCTACAGTACATCTGTACAACCCTGTACAAACTCCGTCAGGAACGGGTGAAATGTCAACCCCCGTTCCTGAGTGCCTCAAAGCATCTAGAAAACACCGGTCGACCCCATAGACATTGAAGGTTGCACCATTGACAAGCTGTCTGAGAAGAACCGAAGATGTTCGGACCTTGCAGCGGAGGATGATGTTTGCCACAATTCGCAAACAGCTTGCCACTTGGCTTCGCAAGAACTCCACGTCAGGGACGAGGGAAGGCTGTCACCTTATCATCCATCCTGCGAAGCCACAGCGTCGAAGAAGGCAATGACAAGCGAAAGCCCACGTCCCGGGCAAAGGCCTGCGAGTTCGGCAGAGTGGCTCGGTGAGCTTCTGGGTCCGCCATCCACTTGCATCCAGGCGTGAGTTGTGTCAACTTCAGCTCGCCTTCCTTGGAAAGAGTGAAGAACATCTCAGGAAACAGATTTCATGTATTTCAACCCAGGAACACCATGGAACTCCAAAAAAACAGGGACCTGCAGCATTTTGGAGACTTGATCCGCAGGCTGCGGCTTGACTTACTTGCTTCAATGAGGAACAAGTAAACCATAGTAAACCATCCCAGACCAATCTCCCATAGTCAGTGTGGCTATTACCTTTCAACATCTTTCAACTCCAAGTGTCCGTTTCGGGCACATACGTGATCACTTCTGCCTTCTCAGAGATACTCACTCGCCGTGTGTGGCCGACGTTCGCCATCCGTGTGGCCGTTCGTTCTGCTCCGCGGATGGCACCGCCAAGGAGAGAAAGGGCGAGACAAAGGAGCCAAAGAAGGCTGAGAAAGTGTGCATGAAAATCGTTCAAATGGACCCAAAGACCTCAGGAAAAAAGCTCAGGAAAGAACCAAACCATCCCTTTGGCTGATTAAAATCGAAGAACTTGAAGGACGCATCAGTGCTGATGGATTGTTCTCGGCCCTTCAACAATTGCGCCGCAACATGCTGCTATGTAGAAACAACTTGTCTCCATGCTTGAACACCAAGTGCTGGATCGTTAAGTTTTGACCATGACACAATGAAATGGGTGTCAATTGTTTTAAGATGTTTTAAGAAAATGACACAAGCACTACGACAGCAGTTTGAGGATTCCATGCATGCCCTGGAGCACGATATAATTACATCGGGAACCTCTTGGCTCACCGACCGTAGGTCTTCGTTCGTCTGAGAATACCCCTTCAACAAATACCTCTTTTCTTCCTTTCCGTCACTGAGATGCACTGAGCAGCTCTCGCCCAACCAGTGCCCCAGCCTCGTACTCCTTGCTGATCATCAAATTGATCACAATAAAAAGCAAAAGGCTTCGTGCCTGCTCCTCTTGCGGATTGCCACTCCAACTTGGAGCCCCCTCTTCTTTCCCACTAAGCAGGAAAAGGACACCAAATCTATCATATATTAGATTGAATTATCTTAGCAAGTCTTAGGAAGCTTCGTTCTCCGTGCCTATCCCAAAACAACGCAAACAATGGTACGTAAAGTGTTGGTCTTGGTACTGTTTTGCCTGCTCAACAACGCCTGCTGTTTGACTGAGCGGTGTTGTCTGTGGCCGTCCAAAGCCATCTATAGACATTTTATAACATCAAAGGATATATATATAAATTGATTCGCTGAATTTTAACTAATTGACTCTCAAAACCTTAAGAACATGTCAAAAAAAACACAGTTGCATTCAGTAGGCCCCACAAGAAAAGATCGCCACCTGTCGGGTCAGTTCTTCGACCGAACACTTGTACACGCACTCAGAGTCAAGCTCTGGGGCAACAGAGTCAACCTGTGTATACCAGAACAGAACAGTCGGCCGAGTCGGCTGGGAGATATTCACTGCACTCGTTTGCTAGCCGCGTCAGACGATCATGTTAGATGATCCCTGTTGATTGTTCATAGGCGGGTCAGGTTTTTCATGTTATAAGGCTTCATTCATGGAGGATGTTCGATGGGGTTTCGTTTTGATTCCCGATGTTTTCAGATGGGCTGCACGTTCGTCCGACGTGCACGTTCGGATCAACACCAGCCTCTTCACGTCCACGGGGTTCGCCACTTGAAGCCACATGGTTTTTGTGACCCAGGTTCGCCCAGCGTCCTTGTGTTCATGGCATCGCTTCGCACAGGTGAGGGCCTCGTGTCAGATGCGAGTGCCACGTGATCATCCGAGTGCTTCCACAAACAGTTCGTAGTTCGTAGTGCTGTAGCGGAGGCTAAGGTTGGTCAGGTCCTGAAGAACATCCTGGATGAATTGAAGAAGCTCTTTTGCAGGCTGGAGCTAGAAAACAGGACCTCTGAATGAAGGTATCTTGAATGCGCTCGTCATCCCGCAGACGTGCATTTATGTTTCCTTGAACAATGATTGTCTGAAGCCACCACCTAAACAAGTACTCCTGGTTCACGACAAGCATGGCCAAACATACAACATCATATAATCCTCCCAAGCACCTTGGTGGATAGACTGCCGGGCTGGTCCATGGACTGACGTGTTTGGGCAGTTTCTCTATTCAAGACTTCCTCCTTCAGTTTGGAAACATGCTTGACATACCCTAACACTCCATGGGACGTCTGTTCACTTGGCTACATTGACCCCTGAACTACACCCATGCATCTACATATACCAGTCAGATCTGGGATTTGGACCCACACGTTCTCATTTGGCTGCTTGCCTTCTTGGCCATTTTGGAGGCGTCGGCCAAGCGCCCCCAATCCTGCGAGGACCCCCCAAGCACAGTTCATCTCGAAAGCAATCGCTGCACTCAAAGTTCAAAGAGGAGTTACGAGGGCCCGTTAAATTCCGCAAGGAACCCCTAACCGACCACTGGCTTCAAACACAACATATCAGAACAACGCAAGACAAAGCAAATTTGTCCAAAAGCATGGTTCCTTCAAGTGCGGAAAACATGTGGTGACTGCATAGAACTGTAGGTCAACTTTCGGACCAGCACTGTTGTCTTTATGACTCCAGTGCAACAGAAATGGACAACCGACCACGGGCATCCAAGACTGATAAATATATACATTATAGGAACATACACACTACAGTACATCACACTACTAAATCAAGGACTTCAGCCTTTGAGGCCTCCGACTACTAGGCTCAAAGAGCATGACTGGTGGAGGACCTATAGATTCTATAGGAAACCAATGGGTGCCAACTCATGGGTGCCATCGACACTTGGTGGGCGCTATGCTGCAACGAGCCTCGGCCCCAAGGGGCCGGAAGTCTGCCATCGGCACTGGGAGAGACACGCGTGTTTCTTTGGGAGACAGCGGGTTGAACCCTGTGTAGGTGGAATCCACTTGGAGAAGCCAATTGAACAAAACATACAAGAACATGTCTGGGATCCCAAACCAGGTGCAGGCTGGCCAGCGTGTGCCAACAAATGCCTGCGCAGCTGCACCGCTCGAAGCAACTCAAGGTTTTGGTTAAAACGCGGCACTTTAGAGTTCAGGGCCAACCTCATGGTCCTGCTTTCAGTGGTGTGATCGTCCCCTTTGTAGTTTTCGTTTCTGTAATCCGTGCTCGCTGGTTTCACTAGGTTTTGAATGGTGCAACAATGCCGCAGCTCTAGAGCTTGACTTTGAAACTCTTGGCACATCATGACCTATTCGCGCCCTTTTTTACTTTTGGGTGGCCTCCAATGACAGCAGTCGTACAGATGTGGTTCCCAGTGTGTGGGGGCTGATGACGGGGTGGTTGATCATCTTTCAAATTCAGATTTCACAAGGCAAGGAGTCAAATTGAACCTCGGGTTCCAACTTCAAGCCCTAGAAGGTGAGCTTGTGCAAGCTCCAACCCTAAGAGCTCAGGTGACGAGCAGCCAAAAGGCATCGAAAGTTCGATCTGAAGCTCTGAGGCCATGGCATTCGTTGGAGTCGAACCGAAGTCTTCGCATTTGCAGCGACGTCTTCGTTGTCTTGGAGACCCCCACTTGGACCGGTCTATAAGACTAGGTGTGGGGGAGTCAACAAACCTGATTGACGTGATCTGAATACACCCACCCATACATGGGAACCTCCCCCAAGATGTCATTTAGATTGCAACATGCAGCCCCCCAAAGCCACTGCGAAGGAATACCATCTCCCCCCACTTTCGGGTTCTGCGCTGGTCGCGGGGAAAGTCCACAGTTGTTGCGCTCCTTCGGTCCCCGAAGGGCAGCACCTTCGGCACACCTGCGGGCAGCTCGCTTGGCCAACTCCTGACAGATACGAGCTATGCCACGTCGGAACCAGATGGGCTGAGAACCAGTTCAGTCCAGAGTACTGAGTCAGAACCTCCGGGTCACGAAGTGGGTGAAAGAACACCCCAACGAACGGAACTCCTGCAGAGCCACTCCAATGAAAGGCTTGGTGAGGATTCGCCATGCAAAGAAAAACTCACGCACCACTAAAGGCTGCAAAGACGGGAAAGAACCAAAGGCACCCTGGAATAAACATGAATAATAAACAAAACATCGAGTTCCTGAATTGGCCACAGAAACCAATCCCATGGCACACGGTGCTTTGTTCACACCTTGACATCAAATCCCAAGTCCATCCATGTGCTTTTTGAGAACATGCAGCGGACCCAGGCACAAGTCATGTGCAGGGAGGTCTTATGTCTTCAGTGACTTGACATGAGCCATGAACCCACCTCTGGTGGATGGGACTAAAGGAGTTTTCTGACCAAAACACAGGGCGGCTGTTCGTGAGATCTGCAGAAGGACAATTTGCCCTCATGAATTGTCTCCTTTTATCCACAAAGCTTGATGAATAAAACTGGCATGCCTAGGACTTTCACGAACAGGTGCCTTTGCCGCCTTACCACCCACCAACATTTGTGGGGATGACCCAACTGTTGCCCCGTTGCCTGGGGGAATCATAAATGGCTTGGCTGCTTCCGGACCGAGTACCAGCGGAGGATGGATATTTCATTTTGTTTGGCCTCCCTGAATTGGAAAAAGGAACATGGTCTAACCAACACTAACAAAAGATCCATGCAGTTGCACTATAAGGAGGGTTTTTCCCTTCTCTGCAAAGCAATCCCATCTTCTACCCTCACTCTCCGTGACCTCGGCGCTGGTCGCCGCCATCGCCGGTCCTTCGCCTCGGAGGCCGTCTGCATGGCCAAGTCCGTGTCACCGGACAAGGCCGAGCACTGCGACGCCTGCAAGAGCGCCAAGACCTGCCGGTCCCGTCCGGGCCGTGCATCGGATCGGCGAGGACAGGCGATGTTTGCTGGGGTCCGGCGTCGTGCAGGGTGGATGATGGTGCTAGTGAGAATTTGTCAGGATGTTGTGAACACTTGTGAGAATTTGACTGCTAAATGTCTTGGCTGCTGTGGTGGTGCCACTGTGGTTTTTTCTTCCGGTTCTCTTGTTGCAGTCGGGTGCGCGCGCTGCTGAGCATGGGTTGAAGATGACGTTAACACAATCCGCTCGGTTCTCCTTTTCTCCTGCTCGTAACTCGTGTTTCATGTCAACGCAGGATTAAGGAACCCCGATTGGTTTGGACCGCCTTGGGTCCTCCTTATTATAGGTACTGATTACTATAGAAGACCTTCCAGCCACTGATGTTGGATTTCACCAATCCGTCAATCTATAGTTCCAATTTTACAGTCGTTCATGACCTCATCCTGTCTTGGCTCTATAAAAAGCACCAAATCCAACAAAACCCCTTAGAAACATCTTCAAGATAAACTAACTAGCGTAACTAGCCAAAAAATTGAATACTATGTCAATCTGCCCAGGGGGTTGTTCATAATCTCTCCATCCATGATTCATGCCCCTCAAGTAATTTGGTCTTTCCCCTGGCGTAGGAAAGATGATCCACGCCCCCCCGAAATAACAAACCTCGGCGCAGGGAGTTGATAATTCAGTGTTCACACCACGTTAATCTGTCTATCTTAGGGGCAGCTTCTTTCCTCTGGTGATCATTTTTGGGGGACTTCACCGAAAATTGCCCTGTGCATTTCCAGGTTTCCTCCGCACTGCAACGACGTCCATCTCCAACCTTGCCTCCTGATCACGGTCCAGCAAATCACGATAGAGCTGCCGCGCCTGCAGGGATATGAGACTTTGAGATTCAAACGCAAATTCACACAATGTTGGGATCCCCCTGCGAGTCATACGGTGAGCTGAGGTTGTGTAAAACCCCTCTACCTTTCCCTATACCACTTTTGACGTTATCTTTTTTTCTTCCTTATTGTTTTGCAGCACTTTGACAAACTGCACTAAATGTGGTGTGTGGAACCTTGCGCGCAAGAATACATTGGGCACACTTCATTCCAACTACGCCCATGTGATGGCCTGCCTACGGAAAGGTGCTTTAGGTTCGCTGTGTTATGGTTTTTGTTATCGTGTCGTGTTGTTATCGGTTTCATGCCTAGTGCAAGTTGGAAAACCATGCGGCACAACAATGCTGTAGCACAAGGCTCTGTCCAAGCTAATACCCACCAAGAGCAGTCATGCATTGACCCTGACAATTTGGAACAGTAGTAGGGTTTCTGTTTGTGTGTGTGCATGCATTTTCTTCACACCACTTCTCGCATGTCAAGGGTGTTCCATAGTTCTTTCTTCCTTATCGTTTTACGGGGGATTGAGCATGCTTCCGGAAATAACGGACATGCGAATACTACAGTAATTTCTTACATGTTTTTTTCAATACTCTCTCAGCTTGTGTTACAGGTTTGGTCAACCCATCCGGCCGGAGGACACGGGTTGGGGGGGGATGTTCTGAGGAGATTGGGCAAAAAGTCGCCACCAAAACCATCGCCCCCCCACATGTCCGGTCTTCTCCCCACCCACAACCGCTCCGGTCACCTGCCCGGCCCTTCCGAAAAACTCGTTCAACCGGACGAGGTTCGAACTCCGATGCCTGCAAGGCAGCCTCTCGGGCCTCCGACAACGAATGGTTCCGCATCTGGCAGTCCTCGGTAGGCCATCGACGCGGCGCCGCCGCCGGGGCGCGGTGAAAGCGACGTGGAGACGGCGTTGTCCGTTTCTCTCGGTTGAGTCACGGGTGTTTAGTCGCTTCAGTCTCTGTATCTTCAGCAGCTCAGCCGAGTCGTGGGTGTTGAAGATGTTGAAGAATCTATGGATGCAAACCCCGTCATGTGCAGGATTGGAACAGGTTGGAACTTGGTCATGCGCTGCTTGCAAAGTCATGTGTACATGTCTTGCCCACATGAGTACAAAATATACAGCAATGTTGCAATATTGCCTTTGCAGCAAGGCCCTTGTCAAAATTGGCAAAGGGGAAGCTGGCTGTGCCTTTGGGTCAAGCCATCCTTATCTGGGGATGGAGGTGGATGACTTCTTCATCCAGACTTCTCGCTTGAACCACTTGCAAACCAACACATCTCACGTCCAGCATGACCTGAGAAAAGACACACACCGGCCCCACACCAGGTGCGATCTGACTGCATCTCCCAGAATCTCCCAGATGCGATTTCTCCGCCAATCAGCCTTTCTCCGCCAACGATCCACCCCCTTTTCACAAGCCCAACATCGATCCACCCCTGGCCATCTCTGCGGAGCCCTCCGCAGGTCTACAAGAACACACACACACACGCCGCCGAGTCAGCTGAGCCCAAGCAGCAGCCATCAGCTGCAACGCGGCGGCCTCGTGAAGCACGGGCGCCCAGTGGGTCACACAACTGGCGCCATTGGCAAAAGCTCCCAAAAAAGGGGCAGTCTCTGTATATGGTGTCTATAGAATGAGTGGCAACAGGAAAAAACCTCTACAAAAGACTGGTGATATGCTTAAGAGGCTGCGCATCCGCAGTTGCGACGTCTATTCATTCTCGGACTCACCCAAGTCTTGGAGTCTTGGAGCAACTATATATGGAAAATTATGGAAATAGATTCCAACAGAAGTTCAGAAAATTTGGAATAAATCTAATCTCCTTCCCGAGGGGACTACAATCCCTACCCAAGTGACTATCTTCGTCTTGAAGTGAAGGGCTCACCCCCAACCCATCATGTTCCAAAATCCAAGTGCCAGTTGACAAGCATGGTCAAACTATGCTGTTCTCAGGCTGTTCTCCAATTCAATAGACATTAATGGACCATATAGGATTTGCCGGTAAAGGCAGCTGATCTCCGATGTGCAGCGGCTGTTTCACGAATCCATGCAAGCCTTCCTGAAAGGTGAAGATGAAGCAGGGCATTGTCCGTTTGATCCTCCAAAGGAAGAATCTAACCTGCAATCCATACGGCGACATGCACTATTCTGTTTGTACATGTTTCGTACTCGAAGCTGCGATGAGAGGAGGCGCCACTAGTCGAAAAATACACAAACCAGTAGACATAACGACAAGCACATGCCCCATGCCCAATGCAGAATGGTTCCCGTACCACCCATCTCCACGACATACTCTCCACCCGCTCATGTTCCTATATAAACCTACCATCAGCGCCAAACCTGATCACGCCCTGACCAAGAACCGCCTTCTCAGGGTAGCTCCGCAAATCTCCAGAGATGGCTGCGGCCTTTGCCAAGGCTTGAAACGAACTGGAGTTCTCCCTGGTACAAACATGTAAAAACTCTGTACTGCATCAGCAAAAACCATGCAAATACCACACATATTGTTCGATTCCACTTTCAAGGGGATGGATTGCTAACTTAAATATGTAGATATTGGTAGTCGCTTCTCGGTCTGTTGCTTTGCGAGTTGGGACCAATAACACCGTGTTTCCGTGATACGATTGGTTCTGTGGCTGGCTTGGGATGGGTTGGGATGAATAATATAAAGAAACAAAAAATTGGTCGTTACCGGAGGCATTACCAGTGGATACCTGCCACATACAACTGCTTGTGTACCCTAGCCTGTGTATGCCTATGTTCCTGGCGTCATATTTCCAGGGCATTGGGGATTGGAATGACAAGTCAGTACGCTGCGGGGCTTAACACCAACCACAGCATGGACATTTACACAACAAACAACTATGCCGAAACGCAGTAATCATCCGCATTGACTAGTCCAGAATCACCTTCTAAAAGCGCAGTCGATGTCCAAACACATCGACATGTTCATATAGAAATCCATGTAGAAGTTCGGTCCAACCATCCATCACCACCCTCCCTTCAACGGGTCCCTCCGCGGACCCTCCGTCGACGATCCCGACGTCCCGGGCCTCCGAGGCCGCCGCGATGGCTCCGTTGAAGTCTTGAAGCTGCACTGACAAGCGACAGCGCAGCCGCAGCCTCACCGCACGGAACGGCGGCCATGACGATGGCTAGTGACTAGTGCAGCAGCAGCAGCAGCAGCACAAACAGCACCATGACCACCCAAAACAATTCCTTGCGTGGGATGGCTCAGAGTACATTGCTGATGACCCACAGGGCCAAAGGTGAAGAATTCACAGAAACATGTCAGATTAACGACGCCAGCCGGTCACCCGCCCTGTTCCTATGTCCCACCGTCCCACCTGGTTCAGAAGGTATGTGGATTCCAAGGGACACTAAAACAAATGACTTTTTATAGACGAATAGGACTATAAAACATATAAGGAACCTAATAGCGATGGCCTCCAACCTACAGTAATTAATATGAACACCCTGAAAAGCCAGGTCATGACCCACTCGACGTCGTCCGGGTGAACCCACCAGTCCCTTCGGCGGTCGGTGCTCCGGGCTCCCCGACGCTCTGGCCTGGCCGGGTCGGTCGCCGTGCTCTTGCAACAGGCTCGCCTGGCCCCGTTGCTCGCGCAGTTTCGGCGTTGTCAGAGTTCTGCGGCGCATGGACTACAGTGGTTTCAGAGCAGTTCTGCGGCAAGTTACCCCAATATGTCGGTGGTGTCTATGGGACCCCATCCAAAAGACATCTTAGATGCTGGCACAGCATCTACTCTGAAACCACTGTAGGGGAATCTATGCCCAGGGCGAAAAATCTATGCCCAGGGAATCGATATTCAGGATTCAATATTTCATGTCCAATGGATTGATTGGAGTGGTTGGGCACTTTCAAAGCCAGTATGCGGGTTACAGCATCTGTGAGTTCAACCTGTTTATGTATAGAGTGAACAGTACAAAGCAATTACGGATATATAATGGATTTGTGTTGAACGTTGCGCCGTGACTGGCCGGCTGAGGTATACCAAGCAAGGAATACAAACGGGACCCAAACGCGGAAGGTGAACCAAGTAGACGGAAGAAACGAGGTCCCATGAGACACCCGAAGTAAACCAGCATGAAGGTCAGCATGGATTCAACCCCGAGCTGTTTCGTGCCTTTAAGATTTGGAATTGACCTGCAAAGGGATCCAGAACCCAAGACAGTTCAAGTTGGCCTGGGATGATGGCTGTGCCAAAACCATTCTCGATTCCAAGGAAATCATAAGAGTTGTCATATTGTCGTCATGTTTTCTTTTCAAACAAGTTTAAGCAACACCAGCTTTAGGGTCCGTTTCCTGCCAGTGTATCTGGCAGATATGCTCCAGGACCCGCCGTACTACACGCCTCCGTGATCCATCGTTGACAGTACGATGGACGCATGCGGCCGTGGCGGTGCCAGCGCCACCCCGGCATGAAGCTTTGGCCTCTCTGATTTGGATTCCTCTCAAATAGAAAAGCCTCTCAACTTGTCATCCCATGGCTCATACCCCAAAATATATGAACCAAAACACATGGATCCAGGGGGAGCATAGTCTGTTTCTCCTGGTGTTTACATGTTCCCAACCATTCCAACCATGGTGATATGAACAATTCCGATCCCTTTGAATCACATGTTCCCAGTCCAGGGATGTTCCCACAGGGTGCAGGGATTGGTGCGTAACACTTCGAGTTGCAACTCGTCACCTGCTGCTGGGCAAGCTTGGCAGCCTGCATAGCATGGTAGGCTGCTCCGGATTTCGCTTGTTTGTCGTGAAGTAACCAAAGAAAAAACATACAAGTGTCGCCAACGAAAAGTCCTCGGACTTGGGGGGAAGTACACTTTTGAGGTCTGTTAATTGTCCTGACGTCCCTCACTAGCTGGGGCCTGAGCAGTTGGAAGTTTCGTTTCGACCATCAAATCCTGGAAACAGTCGAGTCCTGACCAGCATTGCTTAGCTGATCATCGCTGGGGGAAAAGATACTCGAGGATGTTCGGATGTTCCGGATTTCCTCTTTGATCCTTTTTGCACATATCTTAACACACCCTACATCACCCTACTGTATAAGATCAACAAACCATCAACCAGCGACATTCGGAATCTGTTGTTGTGCCGCCTCAGGGGACGCTGGGTTTGGGAGATTCGAAGCTCCTACAAGTAGCAGCTAGCTAAGTCAAGGTGCACATGCACACAGTACCAGGCTTTCAACCATGTCCTATATTTGTATACATGGCCGTTAGGAAATGGATTCGGCCCTGGCCCTGGCGGGTTGCTTGTTGATCTGCCCAATCCGCAAAAAGGTAAAAATTGGAACTCCTGGGTCTGTGAAGCGGGGCAACATTTATATACACTGTTTTTGATTTGGTCCCTGGTCGAAATTGAAGGCCACATGAACATACATGAACAACATCTGTTCCCAAGTATGCACAGATTATCCTCTTCATCAACCCATCCAACCACCCGTCCAACCACCGTCCGTTGGCGCCTCTCCAAAGTCCCCGCTGTGAAGGTATCCCAAGGCCAACATGTCTAGGGCCACCGCCTCAACAGGGATATGACCCGATTGGAGTGGCCTCCGTGTCCAGGCGTCCACAACTGGCATGGAGCAACTGACATGTTACTGGCATGGTTAGTGGCCTGTCCAGTAACCCTTTTGTTTGTTTATACTTGTACTGGTACCCGGTACCTGGTAACATAGCTACCGCTACCTGTGTGCGACGCTGCTTGATCTGCTCAAATCAGGCCGGTTGCTTGACACCGGGGGTTTAAACACGGTTAACAAATCACTAGGGATGCACGTCAGCGACACCAAACACATGTCCGTCCAGGAAATATGCTCGGTCCATGAAGGTCGAGGAAGTCTGCATGCTCTAATCTCCCTGACGACAGTTTCAATGGGCAGACTGGGCACGCTGCCAGCCACATCCACATCCCTTTTCTTGATCTTCACTGGGCAAAAAGAATGGCCTCTTTTTTGGTTGTGGCCTCCATATGGCATTGTTGTGACGAGCTGTCAGGGAGGTCGATCTTGGTGGCAACATCGACGTTGGCCTCCTTCATCTCGTGGCCGTTCACTGCAAGCATTTGACACCTCATCGCTGATTACTGATGCACCTGCTCTCTGTCATTCAATGCTCACGTTTTCGACGGTCTCCAGGTCCTTTAGCGCAAAACTACTGCTGAGTGCCCACGGGCTGTGCTGCAGAGTGCCACAGTTCCGAGGCACGTCAGGATGCTGGAATTTGACATCTTCATGCCAACACCGTAAGCAAATTGTTGAGAGCATGAACACAACTTTGTGATCCTCATCCACATTGAAAATCATGAACAAATGTCAAATCCCTACCTCTTCCTTGCTTCTACTTCGTCCCCGCCGTCCCTGTTTCTTGGCTGGTCTGATTTATACCAACCTTCTTTTCAGAAACGAACCGCTCCTGCCGCTCTACCCCACACGTCCGGCCGTGCGCCTGGCCCCGCCGGTCGTTCGCTTCTTGGAAGCGTTCGAAGGCGCCCTGGGCACACGCGAAGGCCCGGGAGAAGTCCTGGAGTCGGAGTCGTGGAGTCGTGGGATGTGTGGAGTTGGAGACCATCGGTGGAGAGTGCTAGTCGAGTTGTTAGCGGTTGGAAACCATCGGAACCACAAAGGTTTCTAGCTGAACTATTTCTGTGATACGGATGGTGAGACTTCTGGAAAGTAGAAGGCACGAGAAACATGACACTCCTTTAGCAGTCTCTGCTAGTCTCTGCTCATCCGCATGTTGAGTGAGCCATACTCACTCACACGCTTTGTTGAAGGACAAAACCCAGACCCAGGCAAGAAAACAAATAGCATTCTTGCGGTTGTTGTTTGTTAAGAGTATTTATTGGGAGTTGGGAGGATACTTTAGAACGCGACTAATGTGTGACAGTCTAAATCATGTGTGCACATGTGTGCACCAATCCCATGTGGAATTCAACATCTGGTGGAAAGTTCCTACTGTGACAGTGAGTTGTAAATTTATTACATATCCGAAAATATTGCAATGATGCTATCACAAATGTTGGCTTTGTCAAAGCTCCTGATATATTTCGGAGGATGCTCATCCTACCCTTCCCAAGGCCCCTCTTAAATGTTGGCAGATCAAAGAGACTCCCAGGACCCGCCGGTTTTGGGCCGTAGACATCTCCTTGGCGATAAAGTAGGCTTTCATCAAGATCTGCAAGACACCCTCAGCACAGGCGCTCCCAGTCCAGTCCAATCCCACCTCTCCCATGTTTTCCAAATACCTCTCCCTGAGGATCGAAAGTTAGCTCTATATGCTAACATTTGGGGTTGTGTCTTCTGGGGCTCTCCGACCTCACCCTGTGAGGCCCGACCTCAAAAAACGAGATCATACCAGAACCCAAAAACCACAAAACCA